AAAAAAAAAAAAAAAAAAAAAAAAAAAAAAAAAAAAAAAAAAAAAAAACAAACAACAAAACAATATTGGCAAGTCGGCAATTTGAGGAAAAAAAAAAACAAACCTCCCTCCAGCCAGTGCAGAAACCTCTCACCATTCAAATCACCGTCCTCGGGCAAAGGCATTGGCAAACCTCACAAAAATCAGAGCAAGTGAGCTTTTTTTTTTTTTTTTTTTTTTTTTTTTTTTTTTTTTTTTTTTTTTTTTTTTTTTTTTTTTTTTTTTTTTTTTTTGGCATATCTGAACAGCAAATCGTAGAGCTGAGAGCCTGCCTGCACAAGGGGAAACGTAGCAGAGCGGCTCTACAGGAAAACACTGGAGTGCACACCCCATAAAAATCACTTTGGAGTAATTATCCTGTTTATGAAAACACACTGGTTACCCCGGAATGAAGTGTCTTTTATTTCAGAATTAAAGTGCCCACGCTCTCACTCTGCTAATGATCACAGAGACAGGGGTTGATTATAATAAATAGGGGCTCTTCCACAACAGCTATTGTGGAAATATTCCCCTTGTAAATAAGCCCTGGGAATGCCACGCTTCCAATTAGGTTGGGCCTCAAACACAGCTCATATAAATGGATACTCTTGACTTACCTACAGATTCCAGCAATTTCCGTGCAATTAAGTCATTAATGTGCAGCTTTGGGCTGCAAGAGGCACCTCCAGAAGAGCAGCCAGGAGCGAACCTGGTTCGGAAAACACCTCACAGATCCGAGGGATGCAAATGATGGCTGTTCCTGCCCTGGCTCTGGAATTCCTGCCTCCCCAACAACCACCCCGCGTCCTCTGAGGTGTTTTTAGCACAAGCTCTCCAAGGACCGGGCTGGAGAGGTGTCGTTATCCCTTATTTGCGAACAGGGAGAGCGAGGCAGCTGTTGCGGGGTGGTTGGTTTGTTGTTTGTCCAGCGAGTGTTGAAAAACAACCTTTGGCTTTCCCACCCTGAACGGGGTGACAAGAGACCTTCCCTTTTCCAAAAGGTGATCCCTGTGGCAGGAGATGGAGCGTGTCCGTGGCAAAGCAGGGACTGTGGGCAGGTAGGCTGTTGTTCAGGATCATGGAATCATGGAATATCCCTGGGTGTTGGAGATGTGCCCCTTCCCAGTTCGGGAACTGCCTCCCATCCACCACCGCCAGCTGTCCAAAAACCCACAGTTACTCTGCCAAACTATCTCAGGTTTGCTTCCAGGGCCAGCTTCAAAGACCACCTGGGCTGGTTCAGGTTGAGTCACGTTACTGTATTCCAGGTGAAAACTGAGGAAAACTGTTCTTAATAGGCTGGAGCTTAAAGATATCAAGCTGAGCCACACTTCAGCAACCCTCGTATTTGAGACATATTTGTGATCCGAAGCGCTAGTATTTGGCATTACTGGTTCATAGAACGCATTTGATGCGTTTTATTAACTCCACAGATGTTTAAATCTGTTGCTGTTCAGCGCAGCTCCGTGAGGGCTCTGTGAGGGCACTTTGGTCAATCACACCCCAGCCCAGTTTCCCGCAGCTTCTGAAGCGAAAGCCGGCTGTCGGGCACGGGTGCCTTTACAGGTGTACCTCGTCTGGTCGCTAATTTTTCAAACCTGATTTTTAGCTGACCTTTTAATTAATCACCTGTGCAAGGGAGGAGCCGGGTCCCCATTTACCGCATTGAAAACTACGACTCCCAGAAGGCCCTGCGGCGCCGCCACGCCCCTTCGTGCCGCGCGCCCCGCCTTCCCCGTCTCCTATTGGTTGGCGTCCCACCCTGCTCTGTTCTGATTGGCTGCGGGCGTGGGTGCGCGGAGCCGGAGGGGTCGCAAGATGGCGGCGGGCGAGGCGGCGGGGCGGTACCGCGGCCCCGTGGGCAGGAGCAAGGACCCCTCGGGGCTGCTCATCTCGGTCATCAGGTACGGGCGGCCCCGCTACGAGCCTCCCCGGCCCCTCAGCGTGAGGCGGGGCCGCCGGCGGGCGCTGCAGTGCTAGGGAAGCCCGCCCGGGCCCGGCCTGCGGAGCGCCGGCTCCTTGCAAGCTCAGGTCCTGCCTAGTCCTTCTGCAGCGGAGGGGAAGCTGTGGGGCAAAGCTTGTCCTGAGGGGTGTTCTGATGTTCTCCTGCCCTGCTAGGCTCATCCCCTCCTGCTTCCAGTGCTTCCCCTCTGCAGTCAGAGGGATGTGGACAGGCTGGATCAATGGGCTGATCCCAACGGGGTGAGGTTCACCAAGGCCAAGGGTGGGTCCTGCCCTTGGGTCACAACAACCCCCTGCAGCTCCAGGATGGGCCAGAGGGGCTGGAGAGCTGGAAAAGGCCCTGGGGGTGCCGGTGAGAGCGGCTGGGCATGAGCCCGGGTGTGCCCAGGGGGGCAGGAGGCCAAGGGCCCCTGGATTGTATCCCAAATAGTGTGTCCAGCAGGAGCAGGGCAGGGATTGTTCCCTGTGCTGGGACCTGGGGAGGCCCCGCTGGAATCCTGGGGGCAGTTCTGGGATCCCTCAGCCAGGAGAGCCATGGAGGGGCTGGAGCGTGTGCAGGGCAGGGAAGGGAGCTGGGAAGGGTGTGGAGAACTCCTGAGGGAGCTGGGGGGGCTCATCCTGGAGAAAAGGAAGCTCAGGGGGGACCTTCTGGCTCTGCAAGTCCCTGCCAGGAGGGGGGAGCCGGGGGGGGGTCGGGCTCTGCTCCCAGGGAACAGGGACAGGACAGGGGGAAACGGCCTCCAGCTGTGCCAGGAGTTCCAAACATTGGCAGGGGCTGCCCAGGGAGGTTTGGAGTGCCCAGGCCTGGAGGTGTCCCAGGCAGGCCTGGCCGTGGCACTCAGTGCTCTGGGCTGGGGGACAAGGTGGGGATGGGGCACAGGGTGGGCTCCCTGATTCCAGAGGTCTTTTCCAACCTCAGTGATTGTGGGAATAAACCCTGCCAGCTGAATGCATGAGGGTAGAGGCACTGTCCTGGTGCTGTGGAGTCCATAAGTGACCTCCACCCCCAAAACCAGCAGCACTGAGTAAATTAGGGCTGGTTGGAAGAGCTGGAGGATCAGGAAGTCCCATGTGTGCAGAGTCCATCCTTTTTGAGGATGCAGGAGTGGGAAAAGTGCTGCTGCTTCCAAGTCTGACTTGCAGGGAGTGAAAAGAAAGACCTGGGTCTGGTCATGTTCAGAGTATTGATTGTTGTCTGCCCTTATTCCTGAACTCTGCTTTCCTGTGCTGGAGGATGGCTCTGGATAGACTCGGACCTGAATTTTCTGTTCCTCCCTCTGTGGCTTCTTCAGCTGCTCGTCAGTCTTCTCTCTGCTGCTCAAAACCAGTGGCTTGGCAGCTGATTGCCCGCACCGAAGCTGTTAAATGCTCCTCCACGCGCCCCCTCCAGTGGGTGTGGGCAACAGGAATCACCCCAGTGGGACACTGGGAGTTTGGAATGAGCTTCCAGAGTTTGCATCCCGCTTCAGTGTCTTGGGGAGAAACTGCAGGGGTTGAGTTACTCTGGAGAAGTTCCTGTGGCAGTAGCTCTGTGCCCCAGGACATGTTATGATTTAAAAATCCTCTGATAAGGATTAGAAAATTCTGTTCTTTTTATTGCGTTGGAAAACCGGCCTTTAAAATCTCGGAAAACTTGACGGAGGTGTTGATTCTGGGGAAGAAAAAAAAGCAGCTGGAAGGAAAATATACCTGCATCGATTGCAATCATCCTTTTGTGTTGTTTGGTTGTTTTTGTTTTGTTGTGGTTTTTTTTTTTTTTGTTTGTTTGTTTTGGTTTTTTAAGTTTCCTGTAATCTCCCAAATTATTTTAAGGCCCTCCTTGTTGTACCTCTATTTTAATAAATCCGGACTAATTTAATTTATAAAATAACCCTGAGCTCACGTTGCTCTGCTCTCCAAATGGGAAATCGTGTTTGTCTCCATCTTTGGCTTCCAGGCCCTGATATCTTGGCTAGTTTAGGTCCGGTGTTTAGAGACAACGTTGAGTTTATTGACGTCATGAAATGAAAATTATTCCCTAGAACAGGCTGATAACTAAACCTCCAGAATATAATTTGAGCTTGTTTGGGATGTAGAGACTCTTTGCAGAGCTTGAAGTGCCCGTGTTGAGCCCAGACCGTGAAAACCTGATGGGAAAGGAAGGAAAAAGTGTAAATAATAATAATAATAATAATAATAATAATAATAATATTGATATTTATTTGGGTTGGTCAAGTACAGAAAGAAATGGTGTGAAAAGGAATTTAAATCACTTCCTTCTCTGTGTCATTTTTGTATCGGGTGAGGACGAACTTGCCAAGCGATGGGTGAATTATTTTGGAGCTTTGTGTGGTCCTAAAACACCCCTGCAAACAAATTTAAAGCCAAGTTGTTGGTGTTTTGTTTTGTTTTTTTTTAAGAAGAAAATGTTGTTTAGATCTGCAAAATCTCCTCGGTGATTGTCTCCAAAATGCTGTGAAATGGGAAGCTGAAAGGCCTCCTGTAAATATGGATTATTTTATTAACAGAGGGATCATTCCTGATGTTTGCTCAGGCTCAGTCACTCTCTGTCGAAAGAGACTGAATAATTTCCCTTCCCCTGATCCCAGATTTAGGGTTTCTTAGTGCTTACATCGCTGGATTTCCCAGGAGAAAGTGTCTCCCTTCCAGGGAGAGTGTTTGGGGTGGGACCCTTGACAGAGTTTAACAGGAAGCAGCACTGGAATGCTGTAAGAAACGGGATTTTATGAGCTCTGGGGCTCTACTTTGGGAATTTTAGGTCCTCCCTGGTCTCTGTGGCGTTGCTTTTCAGCAGCTCTGAGGGCGGAAATCTCTGGGATGAAGGAAGATCCAACAGGAAGGGATGTCCCGCTCCTGCTCCTTTCCAGTCCCTGTGAAGGGTCAGTTTTTCCTGTTGTGTCAGGGCACACATTTGTTTCCTGTAGGAGGATCCATGTGCTGATGGAATTGCTGATGGAATTCACCTTGGCTTTCCGGTTGTTGCCAAGAATAGAGAATAAAGGGAGCCTCAATTATGGATGAATTTGGAAGAATTAATGTTTCCTGAGCGCTGTCAGGAGGGGCTGATCCGTGTGGGAAGAGCCAGGGAGCAGAGTTAGGAAGTGGAGTTGTCCTTTAATGGATCCCACTGAGTCCTTGTTTCTCCTAAAGGAGAAATAGAGGATTTATTCATAACAATAAATCTGGAAATAAAGAGTGTCCGGGAATCTTAATATTTCCAAAGCCCACTGTTAAAATTCCCACTTTGGGAGCTTTCCTTCTTTTCCCCCTATGCCTTTAGGGAATATGAGAGTATCTTCAATTTACCCCTTGTGCTGAGAAAAAAAATGACCCCAAGAAAACAGCTCCTGGGGTTGTGACTTCCAGAGTGGGATATTGGGATCTCAGGGGTCGGAAGTGCTGAGCTTGGTGCTCGTTCCTCACCACACCCACCTCCAAAAGGTGCTGATTCCTTCTGGGATCAGCGAGACCCCTCGAGTTCCTCCAATTAAATGCACTTTGGAAGGTCACAGGAACAGCAGAGGCTTTTGTTGTTTGAATGTGCTGCTGATCAGGGGGGCTTTGGCCGTGTCTTTTTAAAAACCAGAGCAGATAATGAAGCGACTTTGGCTCATTTGCCGGAGGACAACTCGGGGAATGTTTTGTTTTATCGCTCAGAGGACGAAGCCCTGTTTGTATATTGATTTTTCTTAACCTTTTGTTTTGTTGGGAACTGCTTGAAGCGGCTTTTGTGCTCTGAAAACAAGCAGGCTGGCATTTAGCAAATGCTATTTTATTCTCTTTTTTTTTTGAGAGAGAGGGAGAGAGATCTTGTCAGATTTTTAATTGGTGAACACATCTGCCTTTTATTTACCGTTGGGCGTTTTTCTTGCCAATTAAAGGTTGCTGGTTTTTTAAAACTGGCCTTTAATGGCTGCTTTAATTGGGGGGAAAACAAACTTTAGCAGTGACTCCCCGAGACCTCAGTGAAATCTTTGTGCTGAGCTTTCACACAGGCAAAGGCACGCCACAGAAGTTGAGATTGCAGGCAAAAAAAATAAAAAAACCAACATATTTTATATTTCACGAGTGAATTTTGTGTTTTTTTTTTTTTTTTTTTTAACGCTTTTGGCCATTATTTTCACGATATGTGAACTTTTGCTGAATGGATTCTTGCTAATGACCTGGCATTTGGTCTCCTCTCTTTGTGTCTGAAGCAATAGAGCCGAGATCCTGGATTGTGATGGAGGAGGGCAAGGAAAGACGGATGCGGAGCCGTTGCCCTCGTTGTTCCATCTGGGAAATAGCTGCTACGAGGAATAAAACCCACTTACTCTGATCTGTAATGGTCTCTTAAACCCACTTTTATTGCTAATGGTGTTTTCCAGCGTTATGAAGGTAGAGAAAAGCAGTTCAGGAACTGACTGAGAATAAATTGGACATGGCAGAGCGCGGCTGTAAACTATAAATTTCCTTGAAATGATCTCGAGGCACTTGTAGGAAAGCTTTGCGTGCTTGGCAAGTGTTGGGTTGTAGTTTGATTGGTTTACATTTAAAAATGGGCGAGGGAGCCCGTGGGAACGCACAGCCACATCCAGAGGGACAGTGTGTGTGGGGCTGGGTAAAAGCTCAAGGGACTTTATTTTTCAGCTCTTAATTTCAGCTTTGGGCAGTGCCCTGTGCAGAGCTGGAGTTCAGCCTGCCCTGAAAAAAACTGCGAGGGAGAAATAGTTGGTTTTGTTACTGAATGATTGCAAGTTCAGTGGTTTTAGCTCTGGAAGGTGTTGCCTTCAACAACTTCACTGTGGTGGAGGATTGAAACCTTCAGTTAATTGTGAGAATTCCCAAGGCTCTTGCTGATTCCTGCTGTTCCCACCTGGAGTGATACCAAGGGTGGGCTGATGGTGCAGGGTCCTCTTCATCCTTTAATCATGCAGGTGACAGGTGTGAGTAGCATTGTCCA